AATGGAAACAAAGTAATGTAAATAATACTGGGAGTGAATGCATTAGAGAAAAGAGTATTTTTACAAAATCATGCTCGATATGATTTTCTAAGGAGCAAACAACAAAATATAATGTCAAGTATATAACTATGAAAGGCATTTAAAAAACTTAGAGAGAGTGGGGCGCCTGGGTGGCGCAGTCGGTTAAGCGTCCGACTTCAGCCAGGTCACGATCTCGCAGTCCGTGAGTTCGAGCCCCGAGTCAGGCTCTGGGCTGAGGGCTCAGAGCCTGGAGCCTGTTTCCGATTCTGTGTCTCCCTCTCTCTCTGCCCCTCCCCCATTCATGCTCTGTCTCTCTCTGTCCCAAAAATAAATAAACGTTGAAAAAAAAAATTAAAAAAAAAATAAAAATAAAAAACTTAGAGATATCTAAAAGCAGTGAAAAATTATATATAGTCAAATACAGAGAAAGTAATACTTATGAAAGATATATACTTATATATAGGATAGGAAGAAAATCCTATCCACTGTTTCATAACCAAGTGTTATATATATAAAACATTTGATATGTAACATATTATATATACAACTTGGCATGCATAATATAAGTTATAACATATACGAGGTGAAAATGAGAATGAATGGGAGTATTATTCTTGCAAAAACATAATTTATCAAAACTGACTAGAGAAGACGTAAAAATCTTAGACCAATCGCTCCAGCAGACATTGAGAAAGTTGCCAAACGATTATGCCATAAATGTAATGAGTTGTTTTAAATTCTGATGAAACACAGGATTCCTGTGCATTTATAATTTTCTAAGAACAGAGAAAGAAATTAGGACAATAAAAGAAACCATATGTCATTACCTAGTAGGGTTCCTTTCAGGAATGCAAGGCAGGTCAACATGATGAAATCCAAATGTATAACTCATTGTATTAGGGGAACACAGGAGAAAGAGTAAGCATTTCTTTTCATAAATTAGATAATTTAGATACATTATTAGATAATTAGATAAATTAGATTGGATAAAAATCAATATCGATATCTAAGAATAAGTGTTACTAAAATAGCAAGAGAAAGAAATTTCCTTGCATGATTTAAAAAAGAAAAAAGTTATTTCAGGGGCGCCTGGGTGCTTAGGTGGTTAAGTGTCCAACTTTGGCTCAAGTCATGATCTCATGGTTTGTGGGTCTGAGCCCCGCGTCGGGCTCTGTGCCCACAGCTTGGAGCCTGGAGCCTGTTTCGGATTCTGTGTCTCCCTCTCTCTCTGCTCCTACCCTGCTCGTGCCCTGTCTTTCTTTAAAAATAAATAAACATTAAAAACATTTTTTTTAAGTTACTTTAAAAGTATAGCTATGCTGAAGGTAAAACATTCGGTATTTCCCCTTAACCTCCACCAAGGACATGACAACATTCCTCACTGAAGTTTTGCTGACCGTTTGCCTGCAGAAAGATCATATTTGATGGGAGGAGGCAAAATTGTTGATATGTGAACATGCTCTGAGATTTGCCCCTAAGGGTCAATTTAAAATAAACAATATTCAAAATTATAAAAGTTCATTATGAAGCCCAGGGATAAAACAGTAACTGTGTTAAAAAATTGTTACTGTTGACTGCATTAAAACAGAAAGTCAATATGGTTTTTACGTCCAAACCCTAACCAGTTAGGAAACATAATTTTACCATGTTGCTAGCAAAGTAGCTACAAAATGAAAATAGAGGGGCGCCTGGGTGGCTCAGCCGGTTAAGCTTGATCTCAGCTCAGGACTTGATCTCGGGGTCATGGGTTCAAGCCTCACATTGGTCTCCATGCTAGGCATGAAGCCTACTTAAAAATAAATAAATAAAAATAACCAAATAAAAACGTCATAATAGGAGCAAAATTAATGAGAAAGTCTCTGGATCTATATGAAGAATGATGGATTTCTTTACTCATACAACTTCAAAGTCCAGGGGCAGGGCTCCTCTTTTTTTTAATGTTTATTTTTATTTTTATTTAAAAAAAATTTTTTTTTCCAACGTTTATTTATTTTTGGGACAGAGAGAGACAGAGCATGAACGGGGCAGGGGCAGAGAGAGAGAGGGAGACACAGAATCGGAAACAGGCTCCAGGCTCTGAGCCATCAGCCCAGAGCCCGACACGGGGCTCGAACTCACGGACCGCGAGATCGTGACCTGGCTGAAGTCGGACGCTTAACCGACTGCGCCACCCAGGCGCCCCTAATGTTTATTTTTGAGAGACAGAGAGCACGCGAGAGTGGTGGTGGGGGGGGGGGGGCGGGAGAGAGGGGGACAGAGGCCCCAAAGTGGGCTTTGTGCTGATAGCATTGAGCCCAACGCAGGGCTCAAACTCACAAACCGTGAGATCATGACCTGAGCCAAAGTCTGTCACTTAACCGACTGACCCACCCAGGCACCCTGGATTTATGATTTTTTCAATTCATACATTAAACTATTTTTCAAGTTTATTTATTTTGAGAGAGAGCATGCAAGCAGGGGAGGGGCAGAGGGAGGGAGAGAGAGAGAGAGAGAGAGAGAGAGAGAGAGAGAGAATCCCAAACAGACCCCACACTGTCAGCGAGGAGCCTGATGTGGGGCTCGATTGCACAAACCCTGAGATCACAACCTGAGCCGAAATCAAGAATTACATGCTTAACCAACTGAGCCACTCAGGTGCCCCGAAGGATGGATTTGTTAAACTTACTCGGAGGACATTGAAAAATGAAATGATTTAATAGAAAGCACTGACTAAATATGGAGACATAGCTCATGCTGGTCTGGAAAGACTTAAATCATAAAGATAAATTCCGGTTGACACAATTTAATGCAAATTCATTCAAAATATCAAAGGTTTAACTTGAAGAAATACTTGAAAGTTCTTTTGAATGAACACATTTTGTAGATTTTTTCAAGTAAGTTTTGAAACATACAAGAGACTTTTTTTCAGATATTGAGATGTTTTATAAGGTTAAAATAATATGTTGAAAACTCCAGGAAGAGGGCATACTTACTCCATATAGACGCTTGTACAGACATATAGCAGGATATTCTGAACCCACACTAAGAGCGATAGAGATATAAGTGGACAAGAAGGAAACTCAGAATGTATTAAGTGAACAAAACAGTTAAAACACAGTTTGTACAGTGTTGGCCAATTATGATTAAAAACGCATATATACCCAAGAGCGTATTTACAAAGGGGTAACTGAACGTCTGGAAGGTTATATGTGAAAATGTTAACAATGGTTACATCTGAGAAATGTCAAATAAGCTAAATTTTAATTGCTGACTGTGGCTTCTCAGCACCATGCAAACTAGAGAGAAGACAGAGTAAAAAGCGAGAAGCAGCCTCTAATTTTGCCAATTTGTTCTTTATTTTTAAACATTTTTTTTTTCCCAAAGTTTTTATTTATTTTTGGGACAGAGAGAGACAGAGCATGAACGGGGGAGGGGCAGAGAGAGAGGGAGACACAGAATCGGAAACAGGCTCCAGGCTCTGAGCCATCAGCCCAGAGCCCGATGAGGGGCTCGAACTCACGGACCGCGAGATCGTGACCTGGCTGAAGTCGGACGCTTAACCGACTGCGCCACCCAGGCGCCCCAATTTGTTCTTTATTAATGGATTGATGGAACACCATTGACGGGGTGGAAAGGCAGGGAGAGGACGAACTGATGAGACTCTCAAACAAATTCACCGACTATTTTCAAAAGCCTGGGCCCCAGCCCACTAGACGATGTTGGGAAACGCATAAGCTTCAATCAAAGGGCTTATTCGATTGTGCCCATACCTTGACATTAGCCCAGGGAGACCCATCACAGAATCGTGACCTCCAGATATGTAAAGGAATAAATTCGTGTTGTTTCAAGCCAAGTAGTTTCATGGTGATTGGATACGGGAGCAAAAGAAAACTAGCAGTTTCCTTCTCTGATGGACTATTTCTGTCCCTCTGTGGGAAAAGTCCCATTTCTGTAAAAGAGCAAAACTCTAGCAGATCAGTCTTGATAAGGACTGGCCATTTCCATACCTCCAGATAAATAGCATCAAGCTTGTCCTGACCAGTGATGCTCTGATGGCCAATTTCTTGGATACAAGCCCAGATTAGGATTCTCTGGGGCCAACAGGTACAGAAACGTACTGTCCTTGATGGGCCCTTGAAGCACACCAGATCTCTTTATTAAAGATGAAATATTTTAATACCGAAAGTGGTATGTTAGAAGAGGCAACATACATTCCCTTTAACATGTAAGCAAACCTTATGCATTCTTTTTTCTTAATAGTTACAAAACCTCTGAAAATTTCTATACATGCTGTTTCTTTCGCAGATAGTCTTGGCTATAGATTTATGTGTTTCTAAAGCAAGGGAAGGCTTCTCTTTATACTAAAGTCACCGTCCCCCCTTCGTCCTGTAATGCACATATGTATGTGTCGGTAATTCGTATTGGCCAAGACCAAGAAGAAGAGAATTGACACTTTCCAACTGGTAATTAATTCCTGCACATACACAAAAAAAGGTTAGGAAATTGGAAATGATGAGCTGGACAGACTATGGTACACAACAGCAGTTCTCAAATTGTGGTCTCCAGACATCTCCATTGAGATGTCCTGGAAACTGGTCAAAAAAAGTGAAGTGCCCGGTCCCATCCCAGACTTGCTGAGCAGAAACCATAGTAGAAGCAACCACCCTGGCTATTAAGCAGGTAGGTGTAATTGTCTGAAAGACACAGCTCAAACACATCATCCACGGTTTGGGTGGGATCGTGGCAGGAAAGAGAAAATTAGTACCAAGTCTACACCTTTCTTCTTAATTTTTTTAATGTTTATTTGTTTTTGAGAGAGAGAGGCAGAGAGAGAAAGGGACAGAGAGGATCTGAAGTGGGCTCTGTGCTGACAGCAGACAGCTCGACACGAGTCTTGAACCCACAATCCATGAGATCATGACCTGAGCCAAAGTAGGACTCTCAACCAACTGAGCCACCCAGGCACCCCCAGGTCTAAAATTTTCAAGTCTTACACTCACCCACGTCCCAGAAATGGATGCCGTCCTGGAGTCTCTTCTTTCTTTGTCCTTAAAAAAAAAAAACAAAACAAACAAAAAATACGCTATTTACACATCTTTGATTATTTGCTCCAATTGTTAATGAAAAATAAAGGAGAATTAATTAATAACATCCTCAATTCAATGATAATTTCACAGATTTGAAGAGTGTCCTCACTTTTTTTTTTTTAGAAATATCATTTTTATCTGTCTCATGTCTACTAGCCAGCTGCTTACAAAGTATTAGAGAGAATATGCGGCTCACAGACACATTATTATATTTTCAAAGGAAAAATGGTGAGCACCCATGTATACAAAGCAATTTTGGGAATTCATGAGGGTTTCATTTTAAATGTAAATCAACAGATTATGGAAGCAGTCTGGACTTGGTACATTTTTATTCTTAATCTGTTATCTTGTTTCTGAATGTCAGTATTGTTTTTGAATTTGTTTTGTCTCCTGTCTTTTGTAAACACGTTACTTCTCTTCCCCTTTGCTTTTCCATGGCCGATCTGTTGGGTGCTTTTTATGCTTTAGCTGTTAATTTGTTTCATGTCAAAATAACCTTACCACATAATTCAGGACCCCACGTGGTTTGGGCTTTGAATTAATAGGATTATTACTAAATTTCCATTTCACTTTAGGGTGTCAGGATGGAAGCAAAGAGTGTTTCAAAATCAAACATGTTTTGTGACCATTCCTTTTAAAACCTCGTCTTGAGTATTCTGCATGTGATAGGTAGATAAATTGGCTCCTTAATTGAAGAATACAGGTACATATTTTACCATCAATTACAAATAAAGCCTTGCAATGCACATTTAGGCCAGTATTTGGAAGAAGTAAAAGAAATATCCAGGCTATTCATCATGAATCCTTTATAGCAAAGTCAGTGAGAAAAATTAAAAAAACATTCATAAAGGCAGTGACACCTCCCATTAGTAGACAAATATGTCCTGAAGATACTAAGGTCTTTATACTCTACTCACCATGCCCCTCACTTAAGAAGAAATGCACGTAAGGCATGTATGGATCTTGTTGGTTTTTAAGGCCTTGTTATGGGACCAGTTCTTAGGCCAGTAACATTCTCATTGCCTGGGAGCTTGTAGAAGATGCAGAATTTCAGGACCAAACCCATGCCTAGGGCGGACTCTGCACCTGAACAAGTTTCCAGGGTGACTCATATATCCATTACAATATGACAACTAGCACTCAAGGAAAACCATTTCCTAAAACACTGAAGATCTGGGGATCCCATTTTTAAATGTTATTTATTTATTTTGAGAGAGAGAGAGAGAGGGAGAGAGAATCCCAAGCAGGCTCCACACTGTCAGCATAGAATGTGACACGCCTCAAACCCACAAACCACAAGACCATGACCTGAGCTGAAATCAAGAGCCTTCCACTCAGGTGTACCTGGGGGTCCCGTTATTAAATATCCTACTCGCGATGCTACTAGTGAAGAAAATGTCCTGCATGTTAAACCCTCATCTGTCTTCGGTGTGAAGATGTGTGGGTAGTGAGTCAGGGATGGGGGAGGAACTTTGGTCACGATGCTGCTACAAGAAAGCAAGGCTTTTGCCCTTCGGAATCCCAGCCAGGTGGCTCTCCCTGTTGGACATGTGGACTCTAGTAAGAGGAATATGGTGCCCTCTTCTACCCTCGGCTACTTCCTGATCAAAAGACGGGGCACCCCAATTTATTTTTGATCTCTTTTAAGAAATGCAGAAAGAGAGAAATCTCTAAAGGCATTCATCCTAATTTCTGTCTCTTAAAAAATCCATAATTCATTATTGCATTAGCTTCATAAATGTCTACTTTTAAAGGAGTAGGAAGAAAATCCTATTCTTCAATGTTTCATATCTAAAGAATATGATCTGCAAGAAAAAAAAATCATTCCTCGGATACTTAAAAGCAGCTCTCCTTATGTTAATTATTGAAGTAAAGCATGCCTTCCTATATAGCCACTGGTGATCATTTCTCTCCACAAATTGTGGAAGAAAAAAAAATCCACTCTGGTAAACGCCTTAATTTGATGTCTTTGGTTCCCAAAAGGATCAAATTCCAATGCATTGCAAGGAAGGTATTTATTCTCAGTGTTGTGGCATCCCATTTATTTATGCGTTTGCTGTGCCTCCTACCTGTTTCTCATGCCTACAAATCAATCAAGGTGTTATCATGGAAGCACTTTCTCTAGAGGCTGTGTTTATATTTGTTACAGGGATTTGACTTGACACAGTTGTGGGGTGGTCTGAGCAGCCTTTCTCAGGCTCTCGTCCTTGTGCTTGTTGCTGCAGCTGGAAGTCCACAGAGCAGGTGGCCACGAAGGGACAGCTGATGTTAACGGGAAGAGATCTGGGCAGGCTGCAACTCACAAGCATGAGTGAAGTTGGACAGAAACTTGGGTCCATTATTGTTGCCTCTAACCTTTGGTGAAAGCATCCTGCAGAATCCATGGCCGTTGATCGTGCACCTGCACATGCACCCCGAGCCTGTGTGCTGCAGAAGCCAATAAAGGAGCAGGGAAAGGAAAATACACACAACTGCTTCACACCAAGGTGAGTCAGTAAATCAGAGGCAACCTGCAAAATGGCGGCTGCTTCTCTCCTACCCTCCTAATCCCTCGAGGATCTCCTTGGTGGAGATTCACATATCGGAAGGGGATTTCTGGAATCTGTGATTCAGCAAAGCCAAGGGGACACATTCCAAAGGCATATCCACCTTCTCCTCTCCATGACGTAGCTCATGTAGCATCTAATGACCAAGAGCTTGAGATTGGTGAATCTGAACTTAGTTAAACCCAGACTTCCTGGCTGCAAGTCAAGTGACTTTCCACAAAGCAAACAACATGAAATGTCCAAAAACGTGTCCTATTCTGTGACCCTGCTTTCCTAACTCAGGTGTCCAGTTTTGATCGTCTGATATAATGCACTAGAACTAATGTCTCCTCTGAATCCATAAGCATTCTGAAACAGGGTGATGTTATTGTGTATCCACTGAATGAGACTGATAAAGAAGTAAACGAGGTAGCAGGATAAAGCTTCATATGCAAAGGGGTTCAAGACAAAAAGTGGTCGACTAATCATACTGCTATCCCCAGCGGTTCCCACGTTTGGATTGTACCATTGCAGTTGTGGAAACTGGCCACCACTGTGTCCTACCTTCCTTGGAAAAACACCCGGTTTCAAAGAGACAATCTTAGGAACGGTGCTCCCCTGAATCTAATCAACCTTGAGTTTCTGCACACTAACCTATTTCTTCCATCCCATCACTTAATGTTTGCCTTTTAAGCTCATGTTTATCCGTTTCCTCTAAAAAAAAAGAAAGAAAGAAAGAAAGAAAGAGAAAAGAAAAGAAAAGAAAAGAAAAGAAAGCTCTTTCTTTTGTTAGTAGCTGGAGGCTGATAATTACTCTATGTATTTAGTAGCAAGTATCATTAGAATTCTGAATTAAAAATAAGATTAATGATTTAATTTCAATCTTGTCAGGATGACCCATTTAAAAAAATACTGATGTGATATACTGCTATAAAAGATTTAAGCATAATTTATTGATAAAACCATTACAACTGCAATGAGAGAGCTATTTGTCTACATAATGGTTCCTGAAATCACAGATAGTACTTTCCCATTATTTCACTGCAACATTATAATTCCTTTTTGGAGTTACCATTTTCTCTTTCTTTCTTTCTTTTTTTCTTTCTTCCTTCCTTCCTTCCTTCCTTCCTTCCTTCCTTCCTTCCTTCCTTCCTTCCTTTTCTTTCTCTCTCCCTTTCTTTTTCTTCCTTCCTTCCTTCCTTCCTTCCTTCCTTCCTTCCTTCCTTCCCTTTCTCTCTCTCTCCTTTTTCCTTCCTTCCTTCCTTCCTTCCTTCCTTCCTTCCTTCCTTCCTTTTTAACAACCACATATGGTGCCTCTGTTCTAAGCCTCTTACAAATCCCAGCTCAATTCATCCTCACCACAATCCCATAAGGTAGCACTGTTGTTCTTCTTACATTATGCCTAAGGAAATGGAGGTGTGGAAAGTTTTGGTAACTTCTCCAGTGGAACACAGCAGGTCAGTTTTGCAGCTATGATACAAACATAGATTCTGGTTCCAAAACCTACCTTCTAACCACTGATATGCATTGCTTTTCCATTATAGAAAATCCAGGGACAACTTGTTTCACTTGGGTTGGAGACAGTAGCAGATGCACCTTTGCATTTGGGAAGGCAGCCAGGTAACAAAATTATTGGCATAAAAACTGCTCAATATTTCTCATGGCCAGATAAAATATTATAGATTTTCTCATAACAAGGAATTATGTAACCCTGGATGTCAAAAGTTCACTTAAGACCTTCTGCTTCTGGTGAAGCAGCAGTAACAGGGAATCATCTTCTTGACAAAACAAAACAAAATGTAAAACAATGGTTTTCAAGACATTAGGTATCAGTCCATTGATGACAGTTATTCCAGAAAGATGGATAATGAATGATGGGAACACTATCATTGAACAGCTGCTGTATTAAGAGAGATTCTAGGCAGTGGTTTCAAGAACGAGAACCCAAGCAGGACCAGGCAGGCTCCTGGCTTGAGGTGATGGATCCCAGAGGATACAGAACAAGGCAGTTAGGAATTTCAGGACAGATTGTGCAGAAAAGAATGCTACACAGAGAACCCCAAAGAACGGGAGAGTACCCTCGTGGAATAATTAGCAAATTACTAATCAATGCATACACATAACCTGTACAGTCATGATACTATGTAAGGGTGGGATATAACCATCCAAAGAATGAGAACACTGCTCAGGGGTCACAGAGGACTATAAGCGGTGCCTGATTCCACCCTCCAGAAGGAAAGAAATCTCATAGCATAGAAAACATTGCATAAAGTCTTCAGGAATATTCCAGCTCAATAAGGAAGAAATCATTCTTCACATCCTGAGCACTGCTCAGGTCTTGCTACCAAACCTTATTAGCCAGACTAGAAGAGATAAATCTCCTTCCAAATAGCTTAACTAAATCCCAAAAGAAAGCCAATGAGTTTTTATAGGAAT